GATACTCAATGATATGAAAAGATAAAAATCGCCTCTGCAAGATAGTATGTTACCAGTCTCAAAGTGAGAGCTAATATCTTCAATTTATTTCAAGCATTGGTTGCGATAAGCATGTTTATAACATGCGTCGATTATATTTATAGTGGGCATTATCATTAATCAAAACGAAATGATATAATATCGCCAATTCTTTTTTACAAAGTGTATAATTGTGAGGCATTGCCTTCGACGTTACTAGGTCGCCACGTACACTCAAACGGCAAGTTTATGTAAATTCGAAGGTTTTTGGGTTCCCCATTTTCTTTAGTTGTCAAGTACATGATCTTTAACGATGCCAAGGATTCGTAATGGCTATATATATATAAATACACTGAATTCATTTAATCGAGGAGAATACATAACTTAATTTTTTTCTTTATATACGACCACGTGTTAGCGATGTCGTATATTCTCATTACCCCTAGCCACCAGGTCTTGTAGCGGAGACCGGGCTAGTTCTACCATTTTATCTGACTATTAAAAACTATGCGATATAATTTCATCGGATTTCTCCCATTTGAAGGGAATATAGTTACCCTTCGTAAACCACCAACAAATCCAGTGTACTACCGGGAACATAAGAGGAATCAGTTTCCAAAAGAAACAATTTGAAAGGGCCACACTTACCCCAACTCGGGACAAGTTCAACCGCCCCTGGGGCCAAGTCAACCATAATAATAACAATAATAATATGCTCATTTATATATAGCCAAATCCACAAAACGTTCTGCTATATATGAAAACTATATACACAACTTCATTGGCTCTAGCGGCAACAGCAAATAATCTTTGTCCAAAGGTTGCACGTTTTCATTTTTGCTACCACTTGTTGGTTGAGACTGTTTGAACGTATCTGTCTTTTTGTAATATACTGTTGAATTAATTCACAGATTACAATAGTTTAATCTGGATAGAATTAATAGTCACGCAAGAGCTCAAGCTGAATCCTGTGTGAGAAGATTGCGGATGGAACTGGTATTCTTCAGATAGCAGTAGCATTTTCTACACAGATCATCAACTTATTTTGTGAAGCTCAGGCCACTATACAATAGTGCACCTAATTTTTTTACAACTGATGATGGCGGAAATTCAATATCTCCCATGTCCAATTTAAGTCCGAGATGTCTGATAATCGAGTGTTGAGACCGAATTTATCAGATTTATCAGCAGTTAGCTTCAAGCGATTTGAATTCATCCGGGTTTTATTTTGTCCATTACGTGTAGCCATTTTTGTAAGTACTTTTGATCTGATCCAGGAATAAATGAATAAAGATGGTGACATAGATAATTTTGATTTAGAACATCTCCAAGCTGTTTGTATATATGGTAAATAAAACAGGTCCTAAAACAGAACCTTGAGGAACACCACACCCTAGAGGAACACGTTCTGATTTGTCAGAGTTGGCAAACACAGATTGATGGCGAAATGACAGATACGATATAAACCATTCCAAAACAGCACCATTAATACTAAAGACTTTCTGAAGACGGAAAAACCGTTTTTAGAAGTCTGTTGTGTCGAAAACCGTCGCTAGCTTCTACTTACACTTCTGTATTTGAACCCAATAAAGAAAAACATGCAATGTGTAATATAAACACAAATATGACAACGGGTAATGTGTAGTACTGCATTACAAACACTTCAATAAAGGTGTTTTAGTGTTCCAAGTGTTTTTTGCGAAAAAGGCAAAATCTAGTCCTCTTCACAGTCACAGTTATGCCATAAATATGAGTCATATGACAGCATACCATGCGTGTCAGCACAATCTTCGTTAGTCCACATTATCCGCGTTTGGTTGGATATGCCCTTTGAATTTGAAACCACCCCAGTGAGCACGGTCGAACTTTCTCCTTCCCGCCACTTTAAGGAATTAAATAACGCCTCCTCCCCACCTCCATCATTCAGAGAATGTATTTGCATTCTAACATCTATTTACGTAGTATGCATCATATGGGGAAGAACCAGTCTTGGCTAATTGTAAGTGACATAGAGAGGACTTCAACCAGGGGGTATAAATGTTACTTATGATAGCAAAAACGGGGTTTCGTATCCCACATAAACAGCAGACGACCACCAAATGACCGATTACTGGGAACCGTTTCCTAGTCACAAGATATCGCCGATAGTTGGACTTGCCCAAGGGTCGAACTAGGCACTCATTCTTCAGTGGTAAATTTGCAGGGATAACTAGTAAGGGATAAAGGTGGTCACTTAGCGTTTTCATAATTAAAATGAAATCAAATGGGGTTTAAAGTCCCACTTTTTGCTCTAGATGGGCTAATGAAGAAGGGCATACGCCATGCAGTGTGCTATGGGGAATAATTTTTGCCAGGACAGCGGCACTATGGCCTACTCTTATATCGAATTCCAACTGTCAAGGGTTCTTTTACGTGCACATCGTATACGGGACCTCGGTTTTTCGTCCCACCCGAAAGACTATACATTACCCCTTGTCAAACTCTACATAGTACACCAGTGACACAGAGAAAACATGCCGAAAAATCCAGAGGAACTTTCTCAGTCAACACAGGACCTCGAGGTTAGCGAGCCAACGTCTTACTCACAGAACTACCGTGCTTTCACAAAAACAATTCCGAAGTCTGATTGATAGTACTCTATCTACTCAATACATTGTTGACCGACTTTCATCAAAGTTTCAGGAATGCAGTTAGTATTATGATGATGATGTTACGTATGACTGTTGTACAGAAGCCGATAAATACCCCTACACCCCTTTTTGCCTTCGCGACAATTTGTTGAAAATTTCAGTCAAATTGATCCACTCTGAAATCTAATTTAGCGATTGAATTGTCGGCCTAGCCTCGATCATCATTACTAAAGTCGGTACGATATAAAAAACATAGTCTCGATTATCCATTTCATGAATAAATCCTGAATGACAGTTGAGCAGCAAATCGGATCCTATTCTGGTAAATATCGCTGGCTAGCGAATGACATCGAGACTTGATTATGGTCTGGATAAGTTTATTAATGTCTAATTAATGATTTAGATAACATTTCAGGCCTAAAGAAAGACCCGCAATAGGCAGATTTAGCTCTTGCATAATGTATGTTTAAGCCCCACCGATGTCATCCCTCTCAGTGATTGTAGGGACCGAGCGAATATTCACTGCTGATCAGTGTGTCTAATTCGCTTTGCTGTGTAATAATTTATCATCATTAATCAGCTTTTAATCATACTAATTACTATGGAAGCCTGAAACGGTCTTTTTGCAATCCAGACTTCTCGTTCCCCTGTCCCTCGACTTTCAAAATCCGCGGCGGGACGTGGAAATTGTAAAATGACCCCAACAGGCTTCCACAGTACCATTGTAAACAAGCCTTATTTTGGCAGTCTATAAATTCAAGAATTAGAGTTTTAAAAAGTTGCTACTTGAGAAATGTAGAGGTTTGTAAGATCAGTAAGTTTGTAGATGACCCTAGTATAGCATGTTTTAACTGGACATGGGTGTTTTATATAAATTAATAAGTTTGTAGATGACCATAATATAGCATGTTTTAACTAAACATGATTTGTTTTGATAAGACGCTGGCTCGCTAGCCTGGGGGTCGGGTGTTCGATCCCTGCATTGGCCGAGAAAGTCCATCCAGATTTTCCGGCGTTGTTTCTCTTTGTCAGTGATGCAGGACGGAGGGCCTGACAAGGACAGCTGTCTAGTCGTTCGGATGGGACGAAAAACCGAGGTCCCGTGTACATATTGGCGTGCACGTAAAAGACCCCTTGGCAGTTGGAATTCGATACAAGAGTAGGCCGTAGCGCCGCTGCACGGGCAAAATTTCCCTCATAGCACACTGTATGACGTATGCCCGTCTTCATTAGCCCAGTTTAGGAGCAGAACAGTAGGACGTTTAACCCCATTTCATTTCATTTCATATCACTTTGTTTTTATAAATTTATAACAATATTGCTACTTTAATAGCGTGAAGTCGAGATGACAAGAAAAAATCAGTGCGAAGACAAGAAGCCGCGTCACTTCTTAGTTTCCCATTCATCACTTCCTGGCTTAGCTTCGCTATTAGTCTATATCCGTCTTGGGCAGTCCGAAAGAAACCGATACCGAAGTATAAACAATAGGAGTGCGCATCCCCCCCATCCCCACACACACAGCCGCTTCTCTGTCTCCAGTTGATGGATAAACTATATTATTATGACACTCCACCTCCCGCCCATTTTTGTGAATATGAAAGCCTATAGTAAGGCTAATAATATCGGTCAACAAGTGAGAGCCTGAGGGACAATTGTTTTTTTAAAAACCATAACCGAAGATTCTTTGAGAAAGTAGATTATTCAAATACTTAACCAAAATGTCAAATTTATGTAGATCAAAACATAAGATCTTTTACGGCTGAGAAACCAAATCTACGTCATTAATTTGACTTAAGTCCTGTCACATTTAATACTTTGACGGTAATATAAAAACAATCATCGGTAGCGTAGCAGCCAAAACTTCCTCCATTAATTAACCTACATTGTCACAGGAGCGTGGTGGGCGCTGATTTTGTATGAAGATCTAGATCCCGTGCAACCAAGCGAAAATAAATTTCGGCAGAAAGTATGACCAGTCACAATTAGTGACCCTATAGATTTAAAACCAAACATGGATTTCTTTTATCTTTACATAATGATATTAAAATTTTATGGAAACAACGAACCCATTCAAATAAAAAAATGATGATAAAAGGGCTATGCGTTTATTTTTTTGAAGAGTTTATTATGCCCGGTTGGCTACATCCTCCAAGAACAGCTAGCGGCGCCGAACAACTGCGAAACTGGAATACAATTTTTGCATAGAAAACTGTCGTCTGTGATAAATTAGAAGTGATAACGGGTGTTCTGGTAAGAGTAAAGTTACCCTGTCCCCCTGTCCAATATATCGTCACTAAAGCTGGCATCACAAATAATTATTGACAAGGGCGTAAAAGGATAAAAAATACTCACTTGCTTGATTCTTCAGAGACCAACCAGTCGTTTAAATACTGTTTAACTTAATGTCAATTCAGAGATATAAAGTCACGTCTATTATTTTGATAGAACACAGTCTGAATATATAGACACGTTTATCAACTCAGCCTCTTATGTCTTTAACATGTATAACTGTTAATTTAAGTGATGCGCATGTTAGCTCGCTCGTATACAGCAATATTTATTGTACTAACTAAAAGTACGTCTGCATTATTAAAGGACGTATCGAGTATATTTCTAATTGAAATTTGAGCCCATAATATGAAAATCATTGTAGTAGATTAATAGCCTACTGTGAGATTCAGTTAATCTCTAATATAATTCGTGTTCCTTATATTACCAAATCCTTAACCGTCATGACTGTAATTTTTGTTCATTTATTATATACAATTTGTTTAATCCTTCATGTGTGTACATCTATCAACATGTCAATTTTAATTACAATATTCACTATAATCCTATTATTTGATGTTTCATAATGAAATTATACATTGATCAACAAATCTATATTAGGGTCACTAGTGCAATATTGTATGGTGTTATTTGTATATTTATATCAGGTATATTAAATACTTAAAGAATCATCCGATGTCTGTTATATCCGAAAAGCATACATGTACATTTAAATCGCTTCTAAGTCATTCTAGTATATATGTTCATATACATATTTCTGTAAACTGTGATAAACATTATACACGTTCAGGATGTTATTGCTGGTATGTTGTTATTCGATGTGTTCCAAGGCTACATCTACCTTACATATAATGTAGGGGCCGGGGTTTTTCGGTGGGGCTATTTCCTTTTTTTCGGACATAACCATCGGGTAATGAGGCCATATATCATAGAAATATAATTGCATAATTGTAAAATGAAATCGTTCGCGGTTTACGTTTTGAATAGCTTTCTGGAAAACTCGTTTTAGTTAATGATCGATTCATTCTGAAAATTGGGGTCACAAAGAAAAATTTTGGGCAATGTTATTGACCCCGTACGCCTATGCTTACATACCTCCTCTTACAGTAGTAAAATTACAAGGAGATGAAACAGACGACTCCGCACTATCAAGAGTTCGACTGCGAAATCAACTAGATTGAAGAGGACGTTAAGTAAACCTATTTCACACACATTATCAACAGTATAATACTCGATCAAAAACATTAGAACTGAAATATTTAGTTTCTCTCTAATGTTTTAATTATTATATAACTAAGTTTGTTTTATGTATAATGTAGTTTACAATGCATATTTTTTTTCCAACGTGAAAAAAATCAAAATATAATGTAAAATGTGTAAAGGTTACGGCGTTAAAAATGGGAAATTGTCTGATAATACAGCGGTGTTTAACGATGCAATTCACAATGGAGACATGTGCTGTCAACTGTTAATGCCGAAACATGTGTTGTGTATTTTTTTCCTCATTCCGATTGAAGACAATCTCGAGTGCATCTGAATAATCAGTTTATCAACTCCTTCGTGTTTTATGTTTATGACTGGTGTGTATGACATGTAATATGGCCCCGATTAACCAAGTTATATTATATTTAAAACTCTAATGGCATAATTAGTATAAGCGTGACACTAATTTCTTTATTTGCTGATAGCTTTTGAAAGAAGTAATATTTTGAAACCACATTTGCAGGTCGTTTTATTAAACTGTATATATCTGAAGTCAGTAGTGAAATGAAGACACGGTGGTTCAGTGAGTAAGGCGTTGTCTCACTAACCAAGAGTTCCCCTAGATTTTCCTGTGTGGTTTTGGGAAAGGGTGTGCGTTGGGCACATTTTATCTTACTAAAATTGGTCAAAAGTGCGTTATTCTGGCAATGTTATTTAACTTCCCCACGAACATAAAAGTTCCCGTGCACCCTTTGTGCCCTATACATATAGAAAGGGCTAGAAGATCACGCCGTATACCGCCCTTGAAGTTCGATGGGCCTAGCGTTAAACCTGAACCAAAGCCTCTGATTCAAAATGGTGTAAGCCGACAAACTCGGTGTAGGATCTACATCCCCGTATATCTATGTGGAACGTAAATTATAATGATGTGTTTGTAGCGACATGAGACATTCCTATGACTGTGGATATTCCATCCTGGTATAGAGTGTTTTAGTAATTTTCCCGGACAGAATCTTCATATTTATCGTGAGGAACAGGACTGAATAGACATTCATAATTGCATATCACTTATTAATTTAGGGAATTTTATTGAAAAAGTAAAACCCTTCTAATTTAAACCACACCAGTATTAAGAAGTATAGCTCACCAAGCAAAAGCCAGAAATAATTAAAATAGAATACAATTCGTCTTGTTTGGGTGGTAATTTGTAAGCTAGAGTTTCAACATCTTCCCGGAGCCAAGGTAACATAATCAACTTGAGCAAAGAGTTTAAACTCGTCCTGTCTATTCAAATTATACCGTTGGGGGGGGGGGGGATAACATGACACGGAAAACGCCATTTAAATTAAACCATCGATTAGAATTGGACTGTATAAGTGTTCGAAACATCTCATGGTCTCCGATCAGACGACTCAACAACTTATATGTCAACTTTTTGTTTATTTTCTCATCACCCCTCCATATGATCGAAAAACCCTATAATATATCTCGGAAAAATCATAATTCTACCCTCTCTATTTGCTGACACATGAACTGGTTTACACATGATTAGGGAAAGCGAAGGCCGGTGGTTTGCTATCTGAGCCTCCAATGAGGCTACTCCATAAATATTCAAAGGTGATTTCTGGTATGCACTTCGATAATTTCCCCGTCCCCCCCACCCCGCCAAGAAGCGCTGTCCCATGGCATAGGCCACCCTGTCTCCCCCTATGTGAGAGCCTTGCTCAACAGTCTGTCTTCATCTAATATAGCAATGATAAAATTCAAGTGGATTTGATAAGTTTTACCAATAAAAAATTCAATTGATTATAAAAGTGAACAAGGACATTAAATCTGGAAATAACTACATTTGTATAGACTCGAAATCTTTGAAATTCGATAAAATTTCTCGCACAATATTTATGAGTGTTTTTATTTTTTTTAGATATAAAGTGATAATGAATTATCGTATTTTTCTTTGTCGTTCAGATTATTAAAGGCGGGTTTATGCCGATTATTGGACTAAGACTAGTAGTGCGAGTTATAAATAGACAATTTTTCCCTTAATTTTTTTCTCCCCTCTTCCTGCATTTTTGGGTTGACTTTTGGGTCTAGAATTGGAGAAAAGGGATCAAATTTGCAATTTCATAGCAGTTTTGGGTAATACTGATGATATTACAGCGGAGGGATAGGGGGTGTAAAGTGTCTTTCTGCAGAGCAATCATTGTGTCGGAAGTGAGATTTTCACCCCTGTCAACTTCAAATCCGTGTAGCAAAAAATCTAAATGGTCAACCCCCTACAAAATTATGATGAGGAGATTGCCAAATGTTGTCCCCATTGTGCCTATAAAGATTGGAACCAACGGAATGTTGAGCAAAAAGCTACAGCCTGTTATGTTACAGTCATTTAACATTGAAGTCAATGGGCAAATAATTGCTAGTCTGAGTCCTATTGCCTGGTAACAACGTAAGAGTTGTCTCCCATTCGCTTACACGTCGTAGACCAAGAAAAAATGTGACGAAAATAGCTGATAAAATATATACACCTGCTAATCATTATCAGCTCCGTGAGCTGGTTGTTTGTGATTATCTGCCCTATTTGTTTACATCACACCTTTAAATTACTGACTCCCAAAATAAGGTCTTTAAAAAGTAGGCTTATTTATCAAAAGTTGTTTAAACAAACCAACAGTGAGGCTGATGTCCGCCGCCGAAATCCCGGAATAAATATACATGTACTAGGCCTAAACAGCAAAAAAGAAACGTCAGTACGATTTCAAAATCAGAGAGGCACTTTCATCAAATCATTCTAGAGAACGACTTACTAAATGGATCAAAGCAATTTTTTGTGAACAGTATGTTGACGCGTTAGTGATTAATTCATCACAATTCCAAGACATTACGAGAAGGTTTAGAGTTTTTACACAGTCTATACCGTGAGCTGGTTGTTTGTGATTAACATCATCTGCCCTATTTGTTTACATCACAACACCTTTAAATTACTGACTCCCGAAATAAGGTCTTTAAAAAGTAGGCTTATTTATCAAAAGCTGTTTAAACAAGCCAACAGTGAGGCTGATGTCCGCCGCCGAAATCCCGGAATAAATATACTAAACAGACAAAAAAAACCAAAAACATAAAAACGTCAGTACGATTTAAAAATCAGAGAGGCACTTTAATCAAATCATTCTAGAGAACGACTTACTAAATGGATCAAAGCAATATTTTGTGAACAGTATGTTGACGCGTTAGTGATTAATTCATCACAATTCCAAGACATTACGAGAAGGTTTAGAGTCTGTACACAGTCTATACATCAGTGTCTGGTGTGTCCACCGCGAGTGTCAATAACAGCAGCGCAGCGTCAGTACATGGAGTGGACCAGACGATTGATGAACGCCATTGGCACCCGGAACCACACTCTCAGAAACGCCCAGCGCAATCCATCGGCTGTGTTTGGTCTCGGTACGACGTTATTAAGTCTCTGAATTTCATCCCAAAGATGTTCAATCGGGTTTAAGTCCGGACTAAGGGCTGGCCAGTGCATAACGTTGACACCGTTCTGCTGTAGAAAGTCCCGAATAACTCTGGCGGCGTGGGCACGGCCGTTGTCATGCTGGAAAGCGTTGTTTCGATGACGTGCGAAATGTGGTATGACCTGGGGTCTGAGAGCTTGATCGATGTAGCGTACTGCGTGATGCCGCCTCCTCTCCCTGGACCAAGATTTTGGAACACCACAGGACCCACTCTGTGGTTCAGGCCGATTCCAGCCCAAACCATTATGCTTGAACCTCCCCATGAGCCTCGTTTAATGACACATTGGTCAGAATAATGCTGGCAAGTCGACGCAATATTCTGGTCCTGCCATCTGCAGTTGATACGCAATACCGACTCTCGTCTGTGGACAGAACAGTTCTCCATTACCTGTGTCGCCAGTTCTGGTGTTGATGGGCAACCTGTAGACGTTCACGTCGATGGCGAGGAATGGGGATCGGTCCACGGTAAGGTCTATGAAAAAGGTCGGGCAATGAAAAATTCCACGACCTTTTTTTTCTATTAACGTTTAGAGAAAAAATATAACTAACTTATTTCTATGAGATCCACACTGCCCGAAAAGTATTTTCTCGTCTTTTTCTTGTCCACTGCATGCCCCCCTGAATTACTTTGAGCTCCTACGCCTATGCTTCCGTGTGTTCCCACTGTCTGGCGTGCTCTCTCAGATGCCTATGTGAAGGGATTCTGCACGTGCTGTGGCACAACATGGCGGTCTTGTCGCCTTGTGTTAACCATTGGTCTACCAGTTCGGGGGTGATCATCCGTGGAGTTGGTAGCCCGAAAGCGTTTCTGAAGCCTTTATAGATGGTCCGAACCTTGACCTGGAAGTGATTGGCAACGGCTTATGCAGTGTGGCCAGTGTCGAGTCTTCCGAACGCCTGGTTCTTCTGAGCTGTCGTGGCATGCTGCTGACGTTGTAGTGTGATGATTGAACCAGGTATGTGGCGGAGGCGGGGGGAATTTTATAGGGCTTGTCCCGGTGAACAGCACGTGCAGCATGAGTTACAAGAAAATCATGGAGAACACATTACCATCTCAGAAGTCAGGTTGCATTTTTGTAAACATTTCCTGGGTTCAATTCTGTATTTGGGAAGGAGCCTTATTGCTCAGGTAAAGTTGGAGATGTGGTCACAAATATACAATAAAAACATTTGGCAAGTTTTATGCAATGCGTCTATTCAGAGTAACATACCAACCTGACGTTTCTTTTGCTGCTATAGATGACACATATTAATTAATTCACATTTATCTTTTATAAAAGTATCGAGCAATCAAACTGATTATCAACTATACACTAAGTTTAATCACTCTCTACCAGATAGAATCAAAGTCAAAGAAATTGCTTAGATCTGCTTAGCTTTAGCGGGAAATATTAATCATTGAACTCAATCAAGCTATTCATCTAATGAACATCTACATCAAGTTTAAACATTCTACCTCAATTAAAAGCAGAGTTGTTATGTTACAAAGTCTTGACCAATCAAATTGCTTATCGCTCCTCAGCCTAAGCAGAAAATTCTCATCATCGAACTTAGTCAAGGTAATGATATATAATGAATCTATACTCGGGAGTTTCATCGCTCTCGCTTAATTATAACCAAAGTTATGTGCCCAAAATCATCAACCAATCAAATTTCTTATCTCTGCTTACCGTAAGCAGGCAATGTTCATCATCGAACTCCATCAAGGTATCCGCCTAATGAACGCCTACACCAAGTTTGAACATTCTACCTCAATTAGGAGGGTTATTGTGTTCCAAAGTCTCGACTAATCAAATTGCTTATCGCTCTGATTACCCTCAACAAAAAATGTTCATTATCGAACTAAGTCAAGGCACTGATGTGATGAAACTATCCACCAAGTTTCGTCACTCTCACTTAATTAAAACTAAAGTTATCGTGTCCCAAAGCATGAACAAATCAAATATCTCTGCTTACCCTAAACAAAAATTGCTCATCTTCGAACTCCATCAAGGCATTGGCCTAATAGTGTACATCAAGTTTGAACATTCTGTTTGAACATTGTGTCCCAAAAAGTGTGACGGACAGACAGGCGGACGAACAGATGAACCCATTAGTCCCCTGCTTCCTTCGAAAGGCGGGGGACAAAAATAATATAGCCTACACGTCATGTTTATCATTAAACATAATGTGTTGAATATTTATTTCGACATATAAAACATACAAGCTGCAATAATGCCAAAGTGGGATATACATTATGATCTTACAACCGATCAAGCATATTTAATGTTCGGTGCCTTCTGAATATCTTTGAAAGCTGCACAAAAATCTCATCTGCGTCTTATCGGTCTGACAATAGGGACCTTCCGCATCGGCACGAAAACGAATACGTCATCGATTCGTGTGTACTTGTGACGTCAATCCGTAATGAGTGTTCGGCCAGTGAAAAACGTTACGCGTATGGAGCTGGAATTACGTAGGTATGCAAACGAATATGTTTCTTGTCTCATATATTGAATTTTACACCATTTTTCGAGGCTTTGTGTATATTGTTCATTTTTTGGAGTTCGTAGAATGTGCTCAACAGCAATATTCTGCTTGATTTGTTGTACATCTGCCAAAAAATCGATTGAAAACTTTGTCTTGACCGAGAAGTTCATGAAGTGGAAATTAACGCCATCTAGCTATTAGCCTATTATCGTACGTCGGATTGCGAAACCGCGTGTAAGAGGATACGAAAACGAAAACGTAAACGAACATATGTTCGTTTTGGTGTTCGTTTTCGTACCGATGCGAAAGCTCCCTAATAAACATCTTATTTTACGCCCCCCGTCGCGCCACTAAACAACGTAAACGGAAGTAATTTCGGAAAGGGGTTCTTTTCAGAGAGCGCGTTTCTTGAACAGGGATAGTACTATTAGTAGTACTAGTAACAACAGGCTATGGCGCGATCGTCGTTCGGCCGAGCGACCCATAGGTCTGTAATGTTTTTAGAAAACGTTTCGCCACATTTATGGCCACCATCTTGGAAATGTGCTAAATGGGCCCATACAGTTATTTTACGCAGCTTTTTAATTGGCAGAAATCAGATCTGAGCCCCAGAAAACATTACATGTATTGCCACAAAATATGAATCCGAATTAAAATCAGCACACCGTCCCATTTTCCGGCTACAAATGGAAATATGCCAAACACGTACGGTACAATATTGCTAGTAGTAAATGGAATATATATTTAGGCCTACACCAAGCACGGCCTACTTAATTAAAATCAGTATATCGTTCCACTTTCCAAGAGTAAAAAGCAAGCAGACTATAGGCCTTCGAATGCTTCTAATTTAGAATCTAAACGTACCGGTAGCCTATAATCCAGTCCTTGATACTTACACTTACAGTTCTTTAATTCTTTGTAAATAAATGGGATTTTCGGGAATCAAATTCTTTCGCTTATTTGTAACATTTAATATGGAACCGAAATAGGCCTATATATAATAACTGGAAATGAATAAAATTAAAAGAAATATACCGTTGGAATAGAATGCAGATTGGCAATTTTGAGATAAAATAATAACAGTTTGATATTATTATATTATAAGCACCCGACTAACTAGTAAGTAGAAATGGTTTCACTACTCATGTCTTCCGCATTATAGTCCAAACACACAGTTTAACGTTACAAGTATACCTAACTACTGACTAACATGATATGACCAGTTTACAAAAAAGATGGGGACAGGGCCGCAATGTGCGCCTGATTTCCGAAGCGGGGTATTCATGCGGACATATAAACGGAGATCTGACCGAAACAGTGGGACAACTTGACAAAGAATAAAAATTTATATTTGGCGGGAAATTGTACAAGTTACCTATATGTGAATTTGGAAAAAGAAATGAAATAAGTCTTATTATTAATGATTATTATAGTGAATGACTTATCCCTTCTTTTGTCAATTTCGTGTAATATGGTAAAACATTTTTTAAATCGACATCTTTTTTAAACCGAGCTAAAATTTTAGATTAAAGTTTAGATCGTTTCGTTTCGTTTATCTCACTGAAAATCTAAAATTTGCATTAAACCGCGACCGGCATAAACAAGTCCATCAAAAAAGGCTCATGCGATTACTCAGTTTCTGTATTTGTATTTACTTTGTCAGCAATTAAGTTATATTTCATTGTGAGCAGCGGTATCGTCAGAATATAAGCATTCTTCAACATGCCACGAAGAAAAGGTAAAATACGACCGGTGCGGGTGACACGGAATGTCTAGGCCTAGTTCGTTTTATTTTTCACTGCACTAGCTGACTAGGCCTAACAACAGTTTCAGTAAAAAAAAAATGCATTTTCGCCCACTTTTGTCGCGCTGTTGCTACTAACATTGAAATTTTAAATTCATTATGAATTATGTGGAACTAGATTTAATCCAAATTAGAAAGTATTGGTGTGAGCTGTACACAGCAGCATTGCCTGAGTAGAGCGAAGCTGATGTGGTTGTTGTTACATTGTCAAGTGCTACAAATACTTTTAAATAATTTCGTTTTTCTGAATTGATTTTAATTAGATCTAAGCAAAAAAGTTTGAGAATTATTTTCATTGACGTCAAAAAGATATGACGCGTCATACAAATATTTCTTTGGGACGCGTAATCTTGCCTGGGTGAGAGTTAGTAAGTTCACATGCACATTGATTGCCAATTTCGCCCAGTGTATCCGGTTCCAGTCTGTGGGTGACATTTTTAGTGTTACCGGAAAAAAGCTTTGCTCAAGCACTGCGCTTTGCGCAATGCTTTAGGGCTTTGCTCTATATTGAAATTGTAATTTATATTCAGCAGCTCCAGGTAAAATAAAGGATGAGCCAGAGGAGGAAGATACACCAGTATTAAAAAGACAGAAAACTGACTCCACATGTACGAAAGAGGTACAATGGGAATGGGAGGACAATGGAAGCGTTTGGACACCATTAGCACCTGATGTCAATACAAAAGTCAATAATGCCTATTTAAAGGGCTTGAAAAAGGTAAACCTACATTTAGTAAAATGAATTTCATGAAATGAAATGGGGTTTAACTTATCCTATATTTAGTCTCAAAGATACACATATTTATATGTGTACATTGTAGTAGTGTGATATACATGTAGATATATAGGCCTACTGTCATCAATTATTGGTATTTATTTAAAGGACAATGACCTTATGTGTTTTTTTCTTCAATCCTTATCTATAGGCCTAAGGTACCGTAATACAGCAATTTCTAAATATATGAGCACTCAATAAATGTTGTTACTATAGTCGAACTATCTGCATGCGAATGACATTTAGTTCAACCTCTGGTTGTGACCAGCCGTACCATGCGATAGAGCATGGTCAGGTTAGTTCAAAGATGACTGAAAAGACTGACACATGAGTAGATTTGACTGAAAAATATTATAAAATTGTTGATTGCCGTTGCGTTATTTACACCATGGACCTGATTACATGGTCCATGGTAACAACATCCGGAAGTTAGGGAATGAGCGTTGGAGTATAGATGTTAACAACTTTGATTTTTATTCAAGTTTTCTTGATGAATTTGACAGATTAAGATCTTCTTATTCGAATATATAGGTTCATGTCAAAAAACTTTGTGAAATTCCATGTTACCAATTAACCCAGTGGAGCCAGTGTTGTAAGGAATGGTTTTAAAAGCATTTCTTCATCCCATCATCAAAATATAGTTTAAAAATGAGTAAATAGTAGAAAATATAGTCGGTGAAGCCACCGAAATGGGCACTGCCATATTGAATAATCAATGGTCCGGGCAATTTGCGTTCGACTGTAGTCCAAGACCATAGTTTACATCTTGAGGTTGCCCAGGATGTCGATAAATAAACAGTTTCAAACATTATCTGATTATAATTGATTGCTTAAAAAAAATTTCATTTCAATTAGGTCTACTTTCTTTCTTAGAAAAAAAAATTGAAAAAGAACAAATTAGACCTAAACATAATTACTCCACCTGTGCAAGATTGTCACAATCCATTGCCCTTTGGTACATGTATGGTTGCTCAAACATTAAAACTGCCTCTGATATATTTAAAACTAAGATTATAATGTTTAATTCAATAGTAGAAAAATGACTCGCTTATTGTCTTGTTGACCTTAATTATTACATGTATATAATATAGACTTCTGTTTAAGAGGATACAATTTAACCGATCTGATTAAAATACAGATCTATATTTCGTTTTTTTTTTTTTATTCTTTCGATGGCTCTACTACATGAAGGTCTGACCATTTGTAGTGGGAGGTCGCGTCAGGGGTCATATGAGCTGCTCTTGACCCTATGCTTCAGACATTTGATTAACTAATCAGCGTTGATGTTTCTAAGTAGGAAACCCATAGTTCCGTACATAGCACGGCAAAAACTCGCTGCTACAGACCGTTTCATTGGCTAATCCCGAACTTCAACCAGAACGTAGGTGTAGTAAAGACAAGTAAAACGAAATTTTGAACTATAAAGAATGAAAAGAAATAGGATTTGTGTTTTAATCGGATTGCAATTTAACATGATATATCTGGTCTATAGTATTAATGATTTTTTTGACATGCAGTATGACATTAGTGTCATGTTTTAAAGGAGCTAAATCGCTATTTTTTGGCACCTAGAAATGGACACAAATGGGTCGCAAAGCTTATAATAATGTAATTTAGTTTATATACATCCATATTACATTATAATACATGTATGCATTGCAACACAGTTGTGTCAATTTCTAGGTCCCAAATATTAGCAAATTAGCTCCTTTAATGAATGTTTTGTAATTTTACAGATTGAATTAGATGTTGTACCAGGGGTTACTATGATATACATGTTTAATGAAGGTTTACAGAAAAATAAGCGTACTGGTTATAGCCGACGTATTAGAGTAGGAATTAAAGATGACTCAGATAAAGGTAACTTTATTTCAATGCATACATTAGTTAATCTTGTGTATGATTGAACATTTCAGATAATAATTGTTCCCCACCCTGTGACCTGAGTGAACTTTACTCTTTCACCTATTTGAAATTGAGTTTTGCCAAATGTAATTTTGTTGTTCCCTTCAGATTATTTGATTGTAAAGATCACACCAAATAGCTGTGTTAAATTTTGATCTCCTTGTATAAGATATCTTATACAAGCATTATTCTAGTCGACCCAAGAGTAATTTGGTATTTATAAGATAGTGCAAGGTAAATTTGATATAGTCCGAAAAATTCTATATGTTGCAGATATATGTCCTGTTGAGGGAAGTAGGAACATAACAGTATGTTCTGCCCTAAAATTAGGATTATATAAGTCAATGAGCAACCCATAGATCTATGCAGATAAAGTCATTGAGGCCATACAAAAAAAAATGTTCTGATTCTCAGACAATCCTTATCAAAAATCTGATGCCGGAGGGTGGTTTTTATTTTTATTTTGTCAAAGGATCACATTTTAGGGCTCTAGATTTATTTTATGTTAATATGAATGTATGGTTATCTATGCATGATTATTAGGGTTGTATACTTGGTAAATGAGCCTTTTTATAGATTTACTTCTTGTGATCGGGGTAAAATATTTACGTGCAGCAATTAATGGGACTTTTTATTTTTTGAAATAAAAACAGGTCACAAGGTTCCTTTTGCAGTGACACAGAATATTTTTTTTCTATATGGCCCAAGATTGAATTAATTTACTGCTTTTTCTTACACAGATTACTATGTCTGGCAATTTCAAGACAAGAATAAAAAGTGGAATCCTTACTCTGTTGAAGCGAATATGAAATTAACAGAAGCTTATAAAGATGACAATACAAGTACAATTACACACAAAGATGCCAAATATCATTTTACAGTTGACCTTAAGAAGTTAACTCATATCTGTAAAAACACAGGCTACATTTGTAATGTTGAAAGAACAAAATTATGTGAGTTAGAAATTCTGTTTTTGAGCTGAGAGTATTACTTAGTAACAAGAAACTGAGTAAATGCTAAATCTTTTGTCTTTTATTACATGATGTGAAAAAGACATCCACGCAAAGAGTGGAAATATGCCCTCACAACACCTTTGTCTCAACAGCCGATTATCTGAACAGAAAACTTCGATGTTGATCAAATTTGATAAGGATCTAGCATCCTTCAAGAAATCTGATCTTTATAGTGTTCAAATAATATTTATCACCCAATAACACATTCTACAGTAGATATCGCTTGTGTCATAAATTACATAATCTACTGCGATATCTCCTATCGCTTTACATGAATTTGATTGGTCAATTAAAAAGGAACTACTTTCTTTTATTTTAATGGAGACATTTTTGTTTGAGTAAAAAGTAACTTCTTTTTTTATTAAAAAGAAACTATTTTATTTAATTAACCTTGAAGGAAACACTGGGTCAGTATGTAGGACTTTGCTATAGGTAAACTGAAAAGAAATTTTACATTAATCAGTTGTTGCAATAAGATTTCTCTTATATTTTAGTACCAGTGCTAAAAACCGAGGTGAATGAAGAAAGTTCAACTTCAAATGGAGCAGGTGATGCACCAGCTGCTAAAAGTGGTCGTGGAAAATCTACTGCAAAGTCAGCATCAAAATCAGGAAAATCTGGTGGAAAACTTAAAAATGATGTGGAAGAAGGTGAAACAAAATCTGTTGGTAAGAATTTTCAAATAGCATGCGTGGTCTAAGGGGAGATAATATGGCATTGATGTCATGATGGATGGGTTGCCTCCCTTTACTCATAATTATTCTAAATTCTTTAAAGATGCCTTCCTGCGTACTAACTGGGTGAATTGATGATATATTTTGACTAAAAACATATTCCAACAAACTAATTAATCTATAAAATTACTTAAAATCTCTCTCAACCTACTGTATGTTATGGCCATTAAAAGTTCACATTACTTTCTATTGATTCCATCGAATCCCCGGTTGTACGTGACAAGGAAAAGGGTCGCCTGTCCAACCTAGTGGGTTTTCTCCGCGTCCTCCGGTTTCCTCCCACTGCTAAAGAAAGCTACGCACAACCAAATTATTGAAATAAAATCAAACCATATGTTAGTCACAAAATGACCTAGTTTGTGTTGAGTGGACGTTAAACCCCATTTCTCTCTCGCTCTCTATTGATTCCATGCTGCCATGTTTTATGTTTTAAACACATCACTCCCTGACTAAAAATAACTCTTTTGTATACATGAACATGAAGTTCAAGATATTATGTAACCCAATTTGGGGAGTTTAAATATTTAAGATCGAATTGTAATTATTTTGGGATGTTCAACCCCATTTCTTTCATTTGTAATCATATTTTAGTTAGGAAAATAGTGAAAAAGGGAGAAGCTCCGGTTGATGCAGATTGTCCAATAGGTGAAAAAGCACATGTATTATCAGAAGGCAAAATTATATGGGATTGTATGTTAAATCAAGTAAGTTACTCATTTTGGTTTTTGTAAAAAGTAAATTTTGACAAGATTTCCAGTCATATAAAAATCTGTTCATCTTCTAATCAGTCTTTTAGGTTTTTAGTTACAGTGGACTCTGTCACGTCCGACATCGTACGGGATCGTCACAATATTTCGGATCACACAGCGTGTCGGAATACCGAGCTTTCTCCAAAACCGGAAATACTGTAACTTCGAAAACCGGAAGTATTTTTATATTGTAGCTTCGAATCACCAGAATGTCATTCCCTTTAAAAATGATAAACCTTTCTGTACTTTCAAAATTTTATTACATTAAATAATTAACAATAACAATGCATGCGTAAAATTGTTTCTTACTGCAGTTTAAATTATCGGCAAACTTCTGTTTAAATTCATCTTTACGCTTTAATATGTCTGACACTGTAGCTCGGCCAATTGAATACTTAACGGCTAATTCCTTCTGCGCAGGTCGTGGAACTTTCTCGAAATCTGCTATAAGTTGTCGCTTTACATCTAATGTCAAAACTGTTCGGGCACGCTTTGCAGGACGTTCAGACATTTTGAATACAATAATGTATAATGATTCTTCAATCGCAGCAATTTTTATATAATGTCGCGGTATTTGACATGAGTAACTAAAATCAAATACCAAGCGCACTCTTACAAGAGATTATAAATTGTAAAATAATCAACAAAGAATTTATAACATTATCAAAGTAATCAAAACAGACCGGCGCTTGCGATTTTTAATCTCACCCATAATTGATTGGTGATTGCTTGTTAATCTTTTCTGGCTTCACACCCATTGAGTTTTAATCTCACCGATAATTGGATGCTTCACACCCACCGTTTGAAGTACGGATTATACGGTGTAGATTCAATGGAAATTATGTGATGGGACGGCTGATTGATGTCGTAATCCGGAACATACAGAATCCGGATTTACCAGCGATTTTTGGGCTGAAGTAATAAGGAAATAAATCGGGACATGAAAATCATGTCGGATGTCACAGCAATCCGGAGTGATCAGACATCGGATGTGACAAGGGTCCACTGTATATACAAATAAAGAAATAACTTGAACTTAAGTTTTGGAAGCCTAAGGTGACAAAATATATTTAGGGTATGTATTGTAGTAATGTTTTGTTTGATTTTAGACAAACCTTGGTAACAATAACAACAAATATTATCTGATTCAACTGTTAGAAGAAGATAACAAGAAGTCATATCACGTGTGGCAACGATGGGGTCGTGTAGGATACAAGGGACAAAATAATCTTGTACCCACTCTTGGAGATTTAGATAAAGCTAAGAATCTTTTCTGCAAAAAGTAAGTCAGGTAGTTTTTCTGTCATAATAAATTTAAATTGATAGTATTTTTTGATGGATTTTTGAGAAATTAATAAATATTTTTGACTGCTGGTTAAAGTATACAAATAGAGTGGTGACTCTTTGGGGCTATATCTTACCATTAAGTCTTAGTTAATGTGTGAAACCATTTGACTTCATCGTATTTCAAATGACATTCAGCTAGTTATTCAATATATCATTGCCCTGCAAGAAATTATATGTATCGTATACATGCAATAATTTCATCTTTAGATTTCGTGACAAGACTTCTAATGATTGGAGTGACAGAGATAACTTTGAAAAAGTTGCAGGAAAATATGATTTGTTAGCCATGGATTATAATCCAAAGGTACTGTGTTGTTATTTATTTAAATATTTGTTTTTGTCTTGATTAAATACTATTTGAAATAAAAAACGAATAAGATAATGAAGTCTTTTTACAGTCTTTAGATCTTTTATTCAGATTATTAACTATTTTAAACTTTCCTTTGGTGTCTGCATTGGCTGAGAAAGTTCACTGGATGTTCCGGCATGGTTCCGTATTGCAGGGTTGACAAGGACGAAATGAAATGAAATGGGGTTTTAACGTCCTACTGTTCTGCTCCTATACTGGGCTAATGAAGACAGGCATACGCCATACAGTGTGCTATGATGGAAATTTTGCCCGGGCAGCAGCACCATTGCCTACTCTTATATCGAATTCCAACTGCCAAGGGATCTTTTACGTGCATTCCAATGTATACACGGGACCTCGGTTTTTCGTCTCATCCTAAGGACTAGACAGCTGTCCTTGTCAGGCCCTCTGTCCTGCATCACTGACAAGGGGGAACCACGCCGGAAAATCTGGATGAACTTTCTCGGCCAATGCAGGGATCGAACACCCGACCTCCAGACTAGCGAGCTAGCGTCTTACCCACTTAGCCATGTGATCCCTGCTTGACAAGGACAGCTGTCTAGTCGTTCGGATGGTACTACAAACCAAGGTCCTGTGTACACATTGGAATATATGTAAAAGATCCCTTGGCAGTTGAAATTCGATATAAGAGTAGCACCACTGTCCGGGCAAAATTTCCCTCATAGCATACTGTATTGTGTATGCCTGTCTTCATTAGCTCAGTTGGAGCAGAGCAGTAGGATGTTAAACCCCATTTCATTTCATTCCTTTAATGCCATGAGTCTGCAACAATGTAATTCTGTGTATGAAGGGTTCATTAAAAAAAAATCTGCATATTTATTAAATGCATGCAGTTTGTCAGAAAAATTTCTGTTGGTAGAACGCATTGACATTTCGTTGGTATTGGAACTAAGTAGAATATTTCTGTGTTGAATTAAATTACATTTCTACTTTTTAGGAAGAAGATGAAGTAGATGCCCCATCTTTAAAAACAGAGAAGTCTGATACTAAATATCCAGATTCCAAAATAGCTAAACCTGTTCAGGTAAATTATTTAAAAAAATTGTTAAGATCAATCAGCAATAGTGTTATGCTTTATGGATTTAAATGGATTATTTCATATAATTAAGCTTTCATATTTCATATGAAAGCATATTGTTTCTGTTAAGATTATTATTCTTATTTTGTGTGTGTGTGTGTATTTTCTGCAAATCGGATTTCTCAGAATCTAACCATAGAATCTTTTTGGAACTTTGACCTAACCCCCCAAAATCGGGTGGTGAGTTTTGATTAAATATATTTTCAAAACGTTTTAAGAATCTGAAATCACCAAATTTTACGAACGAAAAAACTGACAATGCATAGTTGTAACTTTGTGGAATTTTGACCCATTTTACTATACTATTCAAAAAAAGTAGGGGATATTTGATTTTGGGGGCATAATACTAAAATATGCAAATGACTACGAAAAAAGTCACTATAGAACCTAACAAAAGAAACATTTCCAGTTACATGTGACGCCCAAACGCACCAATAGCTACCGCATGGAATGCAGGTGATGCTTGGGATCATCATGGGGGTCCAACCCAAGATTTGCACGACTCTGACTTTGAATGTTACAGTCATTGTGGCATTGAATTCCAGGGTGGAAACATCAGTTTAATTGTTTTAGTGACCAGAAAATAAATTTTGATATGCGTCGGCTTACCCAAAATGAAAGGTTACGTGCCCTTGGCATGCTACAGATCGGCACAACACAGGCGGTTGTGGCGCGGACGATGAATGTTTCTCAGTCTGTCATAAGCAGGCTATGGTCCAGATACCGTGATACACAATCTGTACAGGACAGACCACGCTCAGGTCGACCAAGGGCGACAACTCAAGCCCAGGATCGATTTATCCGTACCTTGGCCTTGAGAAATTGTGTCATCACAGCAAATCAGATCAGCGCTCGTCTTCAAACAGACACTGGTGTGAGAGTGAGTGGCCAGACGATTCGGAATCGACTGCATAGGGGTCACCTTCGCGCCCGACGTCCTCGCGTGATCCCTTGTTTGAGAGATCATCACATTCAGACAAGACGTCGTTGGTGTAGGGATCGTCAACACTGGGATAATCGACGCTGGAGCAATGTGATGTTTTTAGATGAGTCAAGGTTCACTGTTGATTTTTTGGACAGATGTAGGAGGGTGTGGCGTCGTCGTAACGATTGCTTCCAAGACGTTAACGTCATCAGACATGATCGATTTGGGGGTGGTTCTGTTATGGTGTGGGGAGGCATCACTGTTGCTGGAAGAACGGCTTTACATGTTGTTGCAGGGCGTGTTACAGGCCAGTACTACCGGGACAACATCTTGGCAGTCCATGTTGTGCCGTGCGCACGACGTCATGGCCGCCGTTTCATCTTCCAGGATGACAACGCAAGATGTCACAGGGCCAGGATCGTTACAGGTTACCTCCAACAACAGAACATCACCACATTACCTTGGCCAGCACTGAGTCCCGACCTCTCCCCCATCGAGCATGTCCCTTGGACAGAGGTTACGTCAACGTCAACAACGTCCTGCCAATGTCCAAGAACTTGCTGCTGCGTTGCAACAGGAATGGGACAATCTGGACCAAAATGACCTTAGACGTCTCATTAGGAGTATGCCACGTCGGATCAATGCTTGTTTGGCAAACAGAGGAGGATTTACCCGTTACTGACTTGGTTGTGATGCTGTGGTAACTTTGCTGTTTGACCCCGGGTATCATTTTACCCTTATAATGGTCAGTCTGTGCCTTACTTAGTCTAACGATCATTTGGAATAAATCGATGAATGTGAACTTCATTTCATTTTGTCATTTGTTTCTTCGTCAGTTTCATTAGGTGACTTTAATAACACTTAAAAATCAAATATCCCCTACTTTTTTTGAATAGTATAATTCTTTTTTCTTTGAATACCTTGACAAAAATCATTTTCAACTGCAATTTTCGAATTTCGAAAATTTGTTGCAGTCATTTCGTCCTGGAAGTTGAGACCAACTTGACAACTTCTTTAATATTTGCACGATTTTCATGAATTTTGGAATGTAAGTAGATCTTACTTGAATGGTGTCATTAGAAATTTTCTGACTTATCTCCCCTTGGAGAAATTAAAGATCAAAGTTTTCAAAAAAATCGACAAAAAGTAGGTCAGATTGTCTTGAATTTGTTTTTCTGTACTAGCTAAGAAATTTCTGATGAGTTCACAAAATATGAAGTCTGTCAATCAAACCGGAAGTGCCACCATCTTGAAACATGAAAAATCCCTAAAGCTTTTGGGATGTTTTACTTACAGGCATAGGAGTTGCATTTTCTGAATCCTTGAAGGAATGCCTAAAAAACATTCAGAGCAAAAATTTGATTTCAGTCGAATGATGGTGACCATTTTGAATTGAATATAAAAAAAAAAGTGAAAAATCCACGTTAACTTTCATAAAAATAAACACAATAGGCCGTAGCTTGGAGAATGCATCTCCTATATCTGAAATGAATACATTTCATGATAGTCGGGGTCGAATTTTTGATATCTGAAATTTTTTGAATTTCACTTTAGATCTTTTTTTTGTGCCGACAAGTTGTTTACGGGACAATTTACAAATTTGAACTAAACATTCGAACAGCTGACGTCAATCAAATTAAAAAAATATAAGTTCGATTCAAAATTATTCATTTAATTTATTCAATATTTTCCTGCCATTTTTTAGTTTTTTTTACGCCATTTTCATTTCATGATCCGTCCAGTTTTTAAACAGCTTGATCCTTTTTTCTGCAACTTCTTAAACGGGAAGTCAATTTGATTAGAGCAATACAAGTCTCAGTTATTGTGGTATTGGGGTGTATAGGCCACAAGATGGCCTGGATTGTTTATGACAATCAGAAGAGCTAATTAAAAACAGCCATCTTCCATTTCACTCCATCCCAGAATTCCATCTAGGATCAAAGCCTTTTATTAATCAAGGGAAGTAACTCTATTAACACAAAGAACTCAAGAAGGCTTCAGACCACTATTCCTTAATAATATGAATAAGTTGGTTTAGTAAAGGGAGTATATGACATCCCCCGGTCTCAAACAAAAACTCCGGTAAGGAATTAAAATTTAGAAATGAAACGTTAACTTATACCATGAAGCAAAATTATAGCATACACACACTATCATACTTCACTACAAGCAAATAAAATGCTTAAAAACATGAAAGTTGAACATTTAAAATATCAAATTGTCAGTGGAATTTTACAATTTACATGTCTCTTAAAATTCTTAAATTGTTGAGTACTGCTCAAACCTTTATGCAGAGGTATCTTATAAACAAACATGCGTTAATTATTCCTAAATTCAAATACAATATCAACTATAGTTTTGAACATCACAATGAATGTGAATTAGGATTGAAAATACATACATTACAAGGTATACTAACAACAAGAGAATTGTATTAATAACAATTTTGTATAAACATGCAATGAGAACATTATTAAATCACATTTTAATATTTACTCAATTTTCCTGTAATCCTAAGATTATTATTACTAAGTAATTTCTCAGTTATGTCAATTAAATCTGGAGATTGGTCTATATTGACCCATTCACATTCATGAGGTTTATCGTCATTAAAATTTAATAACAATTGTAGATTTCCACACTTAATTCTACCTTTCTTGATATGAAAAACATTATCATTATTATTGACATCAACTAGGTAATTTAATTGTTCTTCCATCTGTGTATGACATAATTTAGATATTGAAGCTAAATTCTTATTATCATTTAGATAACTCACACATTGAGATATAGTGTAAGGTGTAGTAACTCTATTAAATACAACATTTTGATCAGCAAAGTTTGGCAAAACAAAACCATTTTCATCGGTGTATTGATAAGTCAAATCATTAGCTACATGAACATTACCATTTACAGTTTTACCAAGATGTTTTCGTAATTGATCAATATGAGTTAGACGTTTATTTGGCTCATTAGAACGAACAAAGCATGGTTTAAGTCTATTTATAGAATAAACATCTTGTAATATCTTTCCGTCCAAAGTGGAAAGTATATAATGCGTTCTGTCCAAGATTTGGTGAACCACTAAGGGACCACACCATTCAGCCTTCATCTTCCTAGAGTTACAAGTAAGAGATGAAGAAGATGGTTTTAATACATAGACAAATTGTCCAAGTCCATAAATAGGGTTTTTACTTATACTATGAGAAATGCTTATATTTTGATGTTCTTGTTGTCTACGTTGAAGATCAAGCATAGAAGATGATATAGCATTGAATTTTTGCTTTAAATGACTTAAATACTCCTCATAGGATTTACTAACTCCATCGAAATTCCAAGCTAAAGAAGTAAGATTCTTTGGTGGCTTACCAAAGGCAAGTTCGTATGGACTAAAATTTCCTAATTGTGGGGAGACAAAGGAATTGTATGCATATGTGCAAGTTGACACATATCGAACCCAGTCGGTACCATATTGGTTCAAATTGAACTTGAGTAAGTCTGATATTGACTTAATATGTCTCTCCACCATGAGACTACCATGATTAGATACACTGATAAGTTTGTGATCAATCTGTAATGCAGAACAAAGAATAGAAACAAGTTTTCCTGTAAGCGATGAAGCGGCATCAGTTATTAATACTGATGGCGGACCAAATATACATACAATCTTCTGTATAATAGCTTCGCAAATAGTCTCAGCATCTAATGTTTTGAGGGGAATACAGATAAGAAAACGAGTTATTTCATCACAGACTACCATAATATGTTTAAATCCTGTTGGTGATGCAGGCATAGATTTGAAATCTAAACATATTTTATCAAAAGTACAATACTCTGTTGGTATACGTGGATGATACATCCGAACATTGTCTGTTTTCCCTTTAAATTGTTGACATTTATGACAACTAGTGATATATGATGAGATGGTAGAAAACATACTAGGGAAATAAAATAACTTTCGCATTGTGAGATATGTCCTTACAATACCTTGATGACTAGATAATAAACTATCATGATATAT